AGGAAAAAAAATTTATATATATTTCGTTTTTTTTTATTGTAATTTGTAAGTCAAAATCTATTTTCAGGTATTCTTTCGTATATTATTTATTATCATTCAATTTACATTTACTACATTCTAATTTAAATTATATTATTTTGTAATAATAATTTAAATTAGGAAAAAAAAAATTATAATTTTATCAATTTTAATCGAAGAGCTTTTTTTTTTTACTCATAACAAGGGGGAGTATCGTTTTTAGGACCTCAAAAAAATTAAATTAGAAAGTATATATCAGATTAATTAAAATAATGTTTAAATCAAAAATGATAGAAAATGAGAAAACACTATAATGTTGTTTGAAACACCAGTTGCCAATCGTTTCAGTCATTCTTAATCCTTAATTACTCAAATTGCAGAGACTATTGTGCAATTAATGTTCGAACAATGTAGACACACTAGCCAATGTAGTATCTTTCGAGAAAATAATTCAAATGATAGAACAATAATAAAATTAGAAACTGCATCTTATAGAAACCATGATAATTTAGAATATTAAAAAGATCGAATCATTTCAAAATCTGATCATTTAAATGAAATCAAATATAATCTAATAATTAGAACAATTAAATAAAATTCTAAAAGATTGGATCACTAATCTGAAATCTATAGGAGTGAAACATTCACAATACAGTTTTCATGAAGAGTTAGAAAATATAATCAATAAAAACAATAACATGAAATTCAATTCAAATTCATTCATCAAAGATATTAGTATAGAAAACAATAATCGGAATTCTTAAGCAAAACCTAAATTGGAGTAATATAATTAATTTCCAGAATATAATGAATGCAACTAAATTCTATTAGATCTTTAAGTTGACATATTGAAGTTAGAATTATTTGAAAATCTTAATGAAAATTCAATGAATATTAATAATGAATCTGAGGGCAATATTTAAGTAGTACAGGTACCATATTTAGAAGAGGAAGATATCAAATTATAATTAATTCATTAATCTGTTTTATAAGAGGATTATTGTTTTAGTATTGTTTTTAATTCTTCTTCGACAATTATGGTATCAACTGATAAAAAAGTAATTAAAGTATGGAACTTCAATGATGAAAGAATCAAATTACAATAAACTTTTGAATAACACAAAGATTGGGTTAATTGCTTAATTTATAGTAGGATATAAGATGCATTTCTATCAGGTTCAAGTGATAATACAATAAGAATATGGAAATTAAAGAAAGAAAATTTCTGGACATACTCATAAGCCTATTCATAACATACTAATAGCGTAAATTGTATGATTTTAAATGAAAATGAGGATTAACTATTTTCTGGAGGTGATGATTAATCAATTAAAGTGTGGTCTTTAGATTTCAGGAATGGTAAATTGATATATTAATATTCATTGGATAAACATATTAATAGAGTATGCGCATTAAGTTTAAACTAATCAGAGAGTTTATTAGTATCTTGTGGAAATAGTAAGAATGAAACAATAATTTGGGAAAAAGGTATTTAAGATAAAATGGAGTTTAAATATGTTGTTAAATAATCTGTTAGTTGTGGTGGAAAAAAAGTAAAGTTTATAAAGGACAATTAGTTTATTTGGGTTCCTTGTGTTAAAGAGATTGATAAAATATTTATTTTTGAATTGATGGAAGGTGTTTTTCAAAAGAATCAGCAAAAGACAATACAATTAAATTAATATGAGGATGAAGGTGATTATTATTTATTTCCAATAATTTATAATAAATAAAAAAATGTGATTATTGTAAGACATAAATGTTATATTTATTTGATTAGAGAATTAAACAATGGTCAATTTAAAATAGTTGAATAATTGAAATTTAAAACCAACTATATATATGGTACAATCTCAAATAATGGGTCATATTTAGTTTATTGGGATAATTAAAATTGGTTCTATTCAACATATGAATTGTTTTATCAACGATTAAATTATTAAATAAATCATATATTTGTATTACAATATATTTATAATTTCTAAAATGATTAATCTTTATTAATGATAAAGCTTACAATAAAACTTAGAAAAACTTTAGAATTAAATTGTCATTTTGAATTTTATTAATTTAATAAGTTATGCTTTATAAGAATCAGGTCAAAGAAAAGGATTCTTAATTTATTTTCTATTTGTTTAAAGTCTACTTTTATAAAATCTATTGCTGAATCATTGACTTTAGTTGTAGAACAAATTTTATATAATTTTTTAAGAATTTTAAAATATTGAAGAAATAGGAAATGATAATATAGTTTAAGAATTCTCTAAGTATAAATGATAAAAATTTCATAAAATAATATGCCAATACGAATTCAAAGTAAAGAAATGAATATAAATCCTATTTTTAGATCAGTTGAATTATCATCACTTGATTTTTTGGTATCAAGTTATTTTTATTTTAAATATCAAGTGATATTTAATCATTATCATAGTTCAAACTAAAAGAGAAAATGAAAGAAATTATTGCTTTACACATTGGAAAAGCAGGTGTTTAAGGTAGGAAATGCATGTTGGAAATTTTTTTGTTTAGAATATGTAATACTATCAGATGGTTTAATGAAACTAGATGAAAAATGGAAGATAGAAAAATTCTTTAAATGCATTTATTTTCAGAACAAATTGAGGAAAAACACTTCAGGATCTTTTTTGCAGGTTTAAATGCAATAGTAGTTGATAATGTTAGGACTGGATTATTTAAACAATTATAAATTCTGAGCTTATTGATTTAGGAAAGGAGGATACAACTAGTGTTTATTCATGAGGAATCTACACAGTTGGATTTGAAAAACTTGATTTATGTAAAAATGGGATTATGAGAATTGCTCTGTGCTTATAAGGATTCTTACTATATTTTATCAAGAGGTTGAAGAACAGGATCTGAACTTGAGTCAAAGTAAATTCGCATATTAGCTTCTGATTATCCTAAAAAATCTAAATTAGGATTTATACTTTATCTGTCTACGAATGTATCTACAAGAGTTCTTAAACCTAACAATTCAACTTTTACTAATAGTAATTTAATTGAGTATATATAAAAAAACGTGGGATGTATATGAGATGTTAGACCTAAAGTTTATTCAGCTATTAAAATGATAAAAAATAAAACAACAATTTCAATTATTGATTAGCGTTATAAATGGCTTTAAAGTTGGATCTAATTCTTAGCCGCCAAAAGTAGTACATAGAAGAGATTTAGCAGATTTATAAAGAGCAGTATTCATAATTTCTAATTCAACCACCATAGCTTTAGTATCTTCCAAGTTAAATCAAAAACATTAAGTAATTTATGCAAAAAGATCATTTATTTACAGGTATGTAGATAAAGGATTGGAAGAGAAGGATATTTCAGAATACAGAGAAGACTCAGAATATCTAATGGAAGATTATATAGAAGCTTCAATTGAAACAGAGTGATAGGAAGACGAAGTCTTAAGAAGTTAAAAATATTTAATTAATATTAAAAGTTCAAACAAAATATTTACTTTGAATTGAATCTAACTCAATAAAAATTCTTTGCTCTTCAAATCATAAAGATTGATCAATAAATTACATTTAAATGTTATTAAATATTTATGAGGTAGTTTTTGAATTTTTTTTTTTTATCATTGTAAATATTACATTATTTTATATTGAACTAAGAAAACCAAAATGATTAGAATAATAAATAAAAAATAAAGCAAATATAATCATAAGTTTCAATAAAGAATAACCATTGGTACACTAGAGCATTAAAAATTAAGTTCTTTTCTTATTTAGATTCACCTAAAATGACCAATATTGAATTTTAAATTTAATATTGGCCTCTGTGGAAATAAACTAAACAGATAAAGAACTTAATCTGTAGTGTTTTAGCATAATTCATAATTATGTGGATAATCCATGTAATTTAAATGTTGAGCTACTAATAACAAAATACCAAATACTTGTAAAAATAATTGAAGGGTTTCTAAAATATTACATATAGTGCTTTTAAACAATCTGCTCAGAAGATTTTAAACAATCCCCTAAGAAGCTTTTACTTTTTTTAAAGCACTAATCCAAAATTTTATTTTTAGAAGCACCTTTGTTATTACATTCGTTATAAAGAATTAATGGTTAAATCTTTATCGTACCATTTAAGTGTTTGCTTAGATAAATAAAGAAAATACTTTATGAACGACTTTATAGGTCTCTGCCTTTAATTAAATATTAAAAATATAATCAAATCTTTTTAACTTCATTTATATATATAAATTCATAATTACTAATTTTTTATGTAGATTATTTATTTTATATCTGTATATCTGACTGATCTTCAATAAAATATCATTTTGCTAATTTTTTGTATTTAAGCAATTTTAAAGTAACATTAATGAAACGCTATTCTATATTTATCTTAACATTTATAGAGATAAATTAAAATTACTATTATCAAAATAATCTAATATAAATTCGAAAGTGCATCGTTGTGTTTTTAACAAAGCCATTAGCCTTCATTTTGAAAAGGTTTTATATGTTAGGCAGTTCTTAAATATATATATCTTACATCAATATTGGACTTTCATTTAACTTTGCGGTTTTAAAAATCAGATGTATTATTATTTTTAGGAATTATTAGTTTGACCCAAAATTATTGCTTAAGTTCATTAAAAATAATTAATACAGATAATCCTTTCAAAAATTAAAAGAAATTGGAATAGAATTAAGCCTTCTGATTTTAGTTTGAAATCATTTAATATTAGATTTGAGTTAATAATATCATTTTACATAAATCAGCCTTTTATATAAATCATTCTAACCTTGAATCAACCAGTTTATAAAATATTACACAAAAGCTTAGTTATCAATCTTTACCCTTAGTATTGGAGTTCAAAAATAAGTCTTGCGTTATTTCAAAATATGAGTAATTTCAAAAAACAAAATAGTTTTTGACTAAAAGCTATTATTGAATAATTTATTTATAGAAATCTTATCTAATTAAGCATAAAGACTAAATCAATGACTAAAATTTTTTATTTTAATGGTGTAAGTTCGTCTTATTGATTTGTAATTAAAGTTCTTGATTTCGTAGAAAAACCAAACTTCTACTCATTCAATTTCTTTTGAAAACTTTATTTCTTCGTTTCAATAATTATAAAATATTTGATTCATATATTTTATTTTTACATAGATAAATTAAGTATGTTATGATTCTGAGCGAATTTCATTATAAAAATTTAAGAAAATTTTATTTTACTTTGATTATTGCTAAATTAGTGATATGGGCTTCTAAAACTTATAAAGTTTATCAAGGATTATGAATTTAAATTAGCCGTAATTTTTCCTTGTTGTTATAAAAAGTTTTAGAGTGTATTTTAAGTCATAAAAATTAGCCTGAAGAAATATGGCTTTGCATATATTTCCCTTTATAACTTGCATTAGACATTATATTTTGAAGTAAAACCAACTTGAGTTATCTGACCATATTAAAAATATTTATGAAGAAAATCGCTCTACCAAATTTTAAAAGCTTTTGGTTACTAATAGTATTCACTCTAATTATTATCATTTTCTAGAATAAAGATACCAAAGCATTTTCAAATCTATACCATCAATATATCTAAATCTTTCAATTATTAAGTCATACTTTAAATTGATGATCCCTAAAATTTCTTTTACAATTTTGCAAATATTGACTTCTAAAGATTAAGTATTATAAATCTTCTAAATTGATAAATAATTAAAACATTTGAATGCAAACTTAATCTGATTATTATTATTACTATTTTTGAATGAATCATTTTTTTCTTAAGATATATTATCCGGACAAACCATTGTCAGCAGAATAGTTTTAATTTTTTTTATGTAAACCAGAGATGTATACTAAAGTTATCAAATGGTTCTAAAGATCTGATAATCATCAATATCTTGTAAAGTAAGTGATTCATTACTGTAGGATTTGCATAAATGTTCCCAAATAATTAAATTTGCCATTTTGACTGTTTAGACATAGAAGATCTATTCTTCATTTAATGAGCATCTTGTTACACCAACATGATTGTGAAATTATATTGGAAATTTGTTGCCAAAGAAAGAATATTTTGATGTAATTTTTCTGTTTGTTGATCATTTTAAAATTTCATTGTGGTTATATCTTCTTGTGTTAAGCAAAAACAGAATAGTTCTCAATCATGCTTGAATTATTTTGGTTCTGTCTCCAAAGCTTTCAGTTGCTACTCCTACAATTATTTTTTTGGTGCTACAGTTAAAACTCCTTTTCCTTGATCGATCTCCTTTATCTGCTACAGTTTTATGTCTTTTCTTTATATTTTGAGCTGCATTATTTGTTCTTCTGATCTCCGGTTAGTATCAGAGATTTACGAATTTTATATTTTGAATTCAAAAAATAATTAATTCTTGTCATTTAATTGATGACGTTTTATAATTGCATGTAATCAATTAGAAAACAAAAAAAATAATTCTAAATTATTGTTGGATAATTTAATTTTGGCATCTAATAGTTGACTATACCTATCCTTTCATGCAAAAATCTAATTTGATTTTAAATAATGCTTTAAGCAGAACATTCTAACGAGCAAGAACCTCAAGCTGCTGCAAATGCTCAATAATAAAAAAAAGATAAGCAAAAAAAGAAAATATCGGATATCTGCAATAGGCATATTTTTTGTACAAACAATCGTTTAAAGTTTCACAATTTCAAACAGGAATTGCAAGATGCTTCTGAAAAAATCCTCCTCATTGTTGAAAAGAAATAACTGACCAGCTAGATTAATCAATAATTATAAGAATAATAAAGCATGTACAAACTCAAGAAGCATCAATTCTATAGATAAAAACGTATAAAAAAAGTCAATCGAGAAAAGTCTTCAAATAAATGACAATTAAAATTAAAAATTATGTGTTATAGCCGTTATTGCCAGCTTATTAATGATTCCTCTAAATCGTGTAAGGTATATTAGGTAAATTTAAATAGAATCTTTGAAAATATGTCGTTGGTCAAAAGTGCACACTTAATGCATCTAGTTAATTTATAGTACTAATATGAATCCAGATTCCATTCTATTGCTGATTTATATCACAGTTTCCTACAGCACTATAATCAATATTAAAACAACAATTGTTCTACCGCTCATTAAAATAAGATTGTAATGTAACATATATATTGCCTTCAACAAAAAAAACCATAAAAAATATTAATTAATTGTTTCTTAAGAGGTTTGAGTATTACAAAACTATATTTTTATTTAAATTATCATTTAGGTTGATTTAGAGATTGCGGATTAAATCAAAAAGAAAAAGTATTATTGTGAAAGAGAAGAAATGTCAATATTTAATTCAATTAAATAAAAATTAAAAATTAAAAATTAAAAAAATTTAGAATCGATCTAGCTCATATCGAAATGCCCTCAACATTAATGGTTGCAAAATTATAATCAAATACTTAATAATTGCATATTTTATAAATGCAATTCTTAAAATTAGATTTTCTAAATTGGTAATCGCCTAAATATCTATCGATTAAGTTTGCTTAAAAATTAAATGATCTTTAATAAATTGTAACTAAAATTAACTAATTATGATATAAATTCTTCAATAAATTAACTTCTTTTCCAAAAAGAAGGTTTATATTTAATGTTCTTATAATAAATTTAGTAAAATAATATTTACTTTTCGCATTTTCTATCTAATGATGACTAAATAAATAAGATACTATGAAGCTTTTAGAATTAAATTCTCTTTTTTTAACTAATATATTTGTATGTTTAAAGCAACAAAATATTCTAAATCCAATTTTTTGTGAATTGGTTAATTTCAATATTTAGGGTTATTTCTAATATCAAGTTGAGAAGGTTTAATTCTTGATGAAAAAATATATGATTAACCAAGAATTAAATTGATAAATATGAAATGCAGATTAAAATTAAAACACAATTAATAATTTTTGTTTTAATCAATCCAAATTTTATATAATTAAATTTAATGATTGTGAAGTAAAAGAGAGAAGGTTTCCATCTTTAATTAAGAAGAAATTAAAGAAAAAAAATATTTAAAAAAAAAAGAGTGTTAGATATACCATAGTCATAAAATGTAAATTCAGAATAAGCAATTTTATTTTTAAATGGAGCAATCTCTAATCCAATCAATTTATCAGAGATGTTTTCTGAATTGCACAAATTGTTACCAAAATATAGTGAATTAAATTTAAAGACATTGCCTTATATAATTTAAGCAGTTAAGAAATATTTATAGGATATCGACTTCTTTATATGAATTTTACGGTTCTGATAATACATTTAACTTTGATTGGTAGACTGTGGTTAAAGGATTTTGAAAATATCCTTTCAAAGAATTTGATTGGATTAAATTTAATCAAGTTGTAGATATGATGCTTAATGATAATAATACAATGTCCATTAAAAAAATTGTATCATTTGTTTAATTCTAAACTTAGGTTTATGCTCGTAAGAGCAAAATAGAAGCATGGAGATGTAAAATAAATTAATAAAAGCCTGTAAGGATTATCTTAATCTTGCAGAAGATGAGATGAATCAATCATTTTTAAAGCAAAGTCTATTTTGATATCTCAATTCAACAGTTCTTTTAAAAATTGTAAAAACTTCTTATCTATTTCACAATATAATAGACAAAAAAATTCAAATATCTGATATACTTATTAATTATAGAATCATCTTAATATTCATAGAATTAAAAAAAAGGTTTTCTATCGGGAACTATTTTTTTTTGATAAAAATTCATGAAATGAATTCAAACTTGTTGAATTGGAAATGTGAAAGTTAACTGAAATATTAAAAATTTTTAGAAAATTAAAAAATTACCAAATCAAAAGGCATGTACTATGCAAACAAATATATAATGATTAAGTGAAAGCAGAATTAGAACTATATTTGAAATAGATTAGTCATATAAATAAAACATAATTGGCTAAATAATTGAATTCAAATAAGGCTCTTTGAAAATTCCTAAGAAACATATAAACGTGTCGATACACATTTTTATCGTAGAGTCCTAATTTTTTATCCAATTCTAGTCATAAATTAAAGTTTAGTTAATTATATCTAAATCAAAATTCTTATACTTATTAATGAGTTAATTTGAAATTAGATTTATAAATAATTTATCTTCATTAAATATATAAATTAATAAAATCTAAGATTTATTAAATTTTTTTTTTAAATCATCTATTTTTTATATAAAATTCTGTTCGAGTTGATTATATTTTTGAAGCACTAATACATTTATAAAAAATGTTTAATGCAATCTAGTCAATTTTTTCTAACTTATTATTGATTAATCCTTTTCAACATTTAAAAAACCGCCTAAATAAAATAATCCAACCATCCCCAATTACTGTTTCACCCCCTTATAACTTCTAACTCTTGATATATACTACCAATGATTAAACAATTATAAATAATTTGAATTGCCACATTTTCATAATTTACAAAAATGATAAATAAAAATATATTAAATGAACTACTGTTAGGCTATACAAGATATGTATTTTTTTTGGTTATAATTTATAAAAAGTTTAATTATATTATTTAATTTATATCAGGTTCTTCTTATTAAAAAAAAAGCATAAAAAAATTAATTCCTAACGCAACATCTAAATCAGAATCTTCTTGTATATAAAGCTAACTCTCTCTTCTAATCTATGCTCATAAGAATTTAATTTGCATTTTAAAAAATACAAGTTATTAATAATTATAATGATATAAATGTTATGGCAAGAGGATATTCAAAATATGAATAAGGAGGATTTAACAGTTTATATTTAAAAGAATCTGCAACATTAAAACACTCTGAGAATATTTTATGGCTTGATAAAACTTGAAAATAGTCATTTTAGTCCATTTTAAATTAAAAATAAACAATTAAGGTTACTTTGATAATTTAGTTAATTAAGACATAGAATTATTTCCATAATTCAGTTGAAATATATTCAAAAGAATTTAAAGTTTATTCTTATGTAAAATAATTCAATAAATAATTTAAAAGGAAACTGTAAACAAAAAATGAATTATAATATACAAAAATTTCATATTTAAAATTAAAATTGCAAATAATAATTTATTTGCATTATCGTTTAACTGAAAAAATATATATTTTGAATATGACAAAACAACGGATTGTTATTATTCATATGCAATTGAATCTCTGATATTATTTTCAAAATTTAAAATAAGCTTAAAATAAGTTATCAAATGGATTTAGCAAACAAAAATAATAGATTGATTATCTCTAGTGATTTACCAGAAAATCCGATAGCCACTAAGATGACATTAAAATAAGATAAAACTTGTGGGGGTAGATTAAGATGGAATTTGATCATAAACATAGTAATGATTGCAATGGCAGGCTTTCCTTTTTACCTTCCATTAGTTGCTACTTTAGGGGTAAATTTTTTTTATGCTTCGTTATGGATTTTATTTATGTTTTTGGCTGCAAATACATAATAAAAAATAAAACTAACAATGAAAAAGATTTCTAATCATTCTGAATAGCCTCCAAATCCTACTCCAATATAATTTATTTTGTTGACATTTATATACAAAGAACCTTTAGAATTGTTATTAAAGACTCTTCAAAATATTTAATAGCAAAGAATAGCCAAAGAGATAATTATGGTTGTTTGTATGGAAGAAAAAACACCAGACAAGGATACTAAAATTAATACTGTTTTTGAATAATTTAAAGACTGTTTTGATTAACTTATAATAACTATACATCCTTATGGAACACCTGGTGAAATACCAGGGAAATGTTCAAATAACAATTATGCAATAAGATCTGTTTTAGCTCATTTAAAAAAAAATAACCCTAATTTGGACCCAAATAAATACTTTGTAACTAACTTTGATGTTGATACAATCTTTCACAAAAACTTTCTTGATATTTAAATGATGAATATTCTTAAAGAGAAAGACAGAAATAACTTTGTTTGGTAACCAGTTTTATATTATAATTGGGGACTTGATAAACTTAGTTTTTTTACAAGAATTACAGGATTAGCAAGAAATATGTTAATGATGGGAGCCTTAATTCCATTAAACATAAATATAATGAGTGTTTATACAGCTTCTTTATAGTTATAAATAGAAGGTGATTTTTGTCATCCAACATATTAGATGGATGATATAATCTGTTATATCAGATGGCTTACATTAAGTAAAAGATCTCTAAAAATAAAACCAATATATTGTCCTACTATTTCAGGACCTACATCTGGTTCAAATATGTGGTAAGAGTTCATTGAATGGATCAGATAAAATAAAAGATGGAGTGTAGGATCTGCTGAAGTTTTCCACTATTTTGTTATTAAAGCATCAAGAATCAAATTTTGCTAAGCTTTTACATGGGCTTGTAATTATCTAAATTATTATGCATCTTTTATTTGTGTCTAAAGCTTATTATTAATAACAACTACTTTTAGACTCTTTTTTATGGAATCTGATCCTAAATTAAAATTATACTTTTGTATCCCTCTGATTATAGTATATATATGCCTATTTTTAATGATAGTCATGAATAAAATTGCAGTAAAATATCTTCTAAAAGATATTGTTGTAGAAAATATACCAATCTGGAAAGATTTTATTCATTGGATTCTCAGTCTTATAGTTATGATTGGATACGGATTAACAGTGTTTTATGGATTTTGGGAGATTTTCTTTTGTGGTAAAGGAGTTTGTACTCATGAACCTTCTAAGAAGAAAATACTTGATAATATTGTCTAACGCAGAGATGAAACTGCCATACAGATACATCAATAGAGTAAGAATACATGAACTAATTATTAATATGAATTAATATATTTTATCTAAAAATTATCGATTCTTGATTGTTCTAATTATTACAGAATAATCAATAAACACGCTTTAAACCTTTTACATAAAATGTTATAAAACCTTTGAAAAATAGATTAACAGCTTAAATTTTGGGTTTTAATTTAAAACGACAAATATAATATTTTCCAGTAATTATCTTAGCCTATTCGAAATTATTCAGTATCATTCAATAAAACAATATCAAATGAAGACCACCTTCATTTATTTCAATAAATAAATTATGTTTAATAAAAATTATATTTATTTAATGTTTCTGAAATACTTTAATTAAATATAATTTGAAATATATTCTGAGCAATATTTTTATCAAATTTTCGAATTCTGGATAATATATGAATTAAATTAGAAAATATCTTTATATATGAATAGAGATCGATTCAATTTTAAACACAATATAAATCAAAACATTTTTGTTAAAAATTTAAGAATTCATTTGAATTTTAAATTTAATAAATTACTTAATCACAATATGCTTCTCCTATTTTGAATATAAAAATAAACTCACAAAAATGAGAACCTTGATAATCAAACTGATTATTATCCTATTTTAAAAAAATGATAAATAAAATATATGATATAAATGTGCGATTTATTAGCTAATCTTAGTTAGTTAGAAATGTTGTTTTAGTTTATGAGTTGTAGTATTTATGGTAAGAACGAATAATAAAAAATTCAAAGTATACTTTCTAAGATAAAATTGAAACATTTGGATGAAGCTATCTAGAATCAATATAATTTGAATAGAGTAATATACATGCTTGCCGATTATGCTTTATTGTCTCATTATGAATTCTGATTTTGATAAATGAAAGATGATATAAAAGTTTAAATAAAATGCACTCTGAGCAACTAATAATTAATACTAATATTTATTTGTTAATAATTTTATTACATTTCTCTAATAACTTAATTTATAATTAATAAATCTATAAAGTATTTGTTGATAATATACTGACTTCGAAAGGAATTTGTAATAAAATATTTAATAAAGCAATTAAGGGCAAATAATAAAGTAGCTACAGAAAAATGTTAATTTTTATTTGATCTCTTTATCGCTTTACATGAGTCTTTTATTTTTTTTTTAATTTTTGAAAGGTAAAATAGAAGTAGAATTAAATGGCCGCATAGCATAAGAGGATGAAATGATTATATAATTACTAACTATTCTTTTTTAAGCAAGGACTATAAATAAAACAATTCTTTTTTTTTGGAAAGACATGAATAATTAAGCTTGATCCAATTATAACCATTAAAAGAAATTATCAAATAATCATTTTTCAAATCTTGAATTTAATTTTTTTTTAATTTCTAATTAATAAAATTTACTGTTAAAAAATAACCAGCATTTTGTTTGGAACCTAATGTGTACTTAATCTTGCTTACTTAATTTATTCATAATTTTATTTTAATTTAAAAATATCCTAATTTATTCTATATGTTTTTGGCAAGAAATTTGCTTGATTAATAAATTATTAGAATTTTTTAAGAACTTAAGATATAAATATAATATTATTAGAATTTGTTAATTTTTGCACCTAATAATGCAAAATTATATTTCAATATAGAATTTTGATAAATTTTTGTTAATTTTTTAACTTAATGTTATTTGAATTAATAATCATTATAAAAAATTTGGAGAATTTGAGAGATAGATTATTAAAAGTATTTTAACTTCAAAAGTTCTAGTGAATATTTTATAATAATATACATTATTTATTAATTTAAAACATGTTTCTTCTCAAAGAATGAGTAATTATTTAAGTTTTGATGCTAAAATTAATTTTAAAATGCGAAAAAAATTTTATTATAAAAAATAAAGGACATCAAATTTAAGAATGAAAATTAATTCTTTTATTAAACAAATACAATATATACAAATAAATTTTAAGCTATCGATATTAAGTTAATTGATTAATCAAATTTATCAAAAATGAGATTTTTATATCAATTAATACTTATTGATATACTCCTTCTAAAATCTATATTATGTAAGACAAATCAATGTATCAATACAATAATGGAACCTGATGAGATATTTTTTTCAATAAAATAAAGAGGATTAATAATCGAAAGCGATGAAAATGATCCAGAAAATTTAAATTACGAGAATTACAACATCATAAAAGAATCATCAAGAATGAAAAATTTAGATAAAGAAGAAACCATTTCAGCCTAAATAATTTAATTATATGGTATAAGTAATGTTTTTGGGAAACTATTTTGTTAATTAAAAAAATTTGAATATTATTTTATCACATGTATAAAGTTTATAGAATTCAAAGAATATTTATAAAGTGATAATTTAAGGCAATAAAATGAACTCTAGATGGTTTCAAGTATTAAAGGGGATTAAATGTGTCAAGAATTGTTTTATAAGTAAAATTTTGGATTTGTTTTATTTTGCTTTTCAAATTTCTTTTTGAAATTATATACTGTTGATTTTGAAAACAAAACAAAACTATTATAATAATTTAAATTAGAAAGTAGTATGTATACATTATGCAAAAGAAAAATTTTTTAAATATCTGATCAAAAATATTTAGTAGCTTTTATTTAGTGCTAAAATTGGGGAGTTATTGCTTGGAATAATGAAGAAATAGATATTTTATTAAATGAATAAATAATAACTACTAATTACTCTTAGCAAATCACTTATCTAGAGAATTTTGAATTATGTTAAAATATGTAGGTTATGCTATTTACATAGTCTAGTTATTATCTATTTAGAATGAATAATAAAAACCAGTTTTTATTTTTTTATGTTGATAATGATTATTCAAAAATTAATTCGTTTCTACTTTCATAGACCTGCATTGTACTTTATTAAATTCAAAATATTTCCTCACTTAA